GGGGGGGGCCCCCCCCCTTTTTTTTCCCCCCTTTTCCCCAACCCTAGCAGTTCGAAAGCACCTAAAAATGCAAGTAGAAAAATAGGAACCACCTTTGGTGGGAAGGGAACAGCGTTCCGTGTGTTGAGTCATGCCGGCCACATGACCACGGAGACGTCTTCGGATAGCTCTGTCTCTTCAGCTTTGAAACAGAGATGAGTACAGCCCCCTAGAGTCAGGAACGACTAGCACATGTGCGAGGGGAACCTTTACCTTTAAGGTAAAAACGATGAAATGCCCAACGGGAAAGAATAAAATGTCTTCAGTTGAGTTTGAACTCAAGAGAAAGCCAACCCATTTTCTTTGATATTGTCTTGGCACAAAGCTCTCTGCATGCTGCTGATAGGCTGTTGAAAGTCTTTTAAAAGCAAATGGAAATATTTGACCTGGAAGGAATTGTGATGAAGCCCCATTGGGCATCAAGTCATCCGTCCTCTATCTGGTTGACATTGACTTGAAGGAACCACCTTGGCCACTTGAGATACTCAGCTAGCACCAAACCAGGGTAAAATTAAGTCTCCAACAGTGTTTTCCCAACTTTTAAGATGTGTACGCTTCAACTTTACGCTGGCTGAGGATTCTGGGAGTTGAAGTCCACACAATCTTAAAACAGCCAAGTTGAAGAACATTGGCATACCTCAATCAATCAATCAGTCAATCAATCAATCAATCAATCCACACATATAATGTAAAATCTGTTTCCTGTAAAACATGTCAGTATTCCATTCTCTGTGTATTTTTTAAAGAAAGCTTTTCTTTGCAGTTAATATTTGTTTACACCATTCATTTTGCTTACCCTGTTGCGATGCATGCGGGGGAAGCCAAATAATTGTGACTGGAGAAATATGTAGTCAGTCTTTGATCACTGCCATATGGTTGAGGGCCATTGGCCTCAGGGTCTAGAGAATCTGAAGTCTCAGCTCCAGGACTAGAGTTTTACAGATATTAAAAAAAAAAAAAACTTCTACAAAGATGGAAGAAGGGACACTACTAAAATTGATGGAACCTGGGTTGAGTTGCAAAATCCGTGGAGAATTAAATTTAGGCATCCCTTCCCAATCCTATTGCCATAGGATTGCGGTTTTTCAAAATTTTCAGCTGGCTGATGATATCCAGTCCCGGAACATTTAGTGGATGGCATCCCCCCCTGAAAATAAGACCTGGTTCATTTTGTGGTGTCAAAAATATATATATAAGACAGGGTCTCATTTTCAGGGAAACACGGGTAGTAATATTCTTTAAGGATGCAAGAGAAAGTCCACTCTCTTCCTCTGTCACCTTAGAGCGTGGAATCATGGATAAAATAGAGAGGAGAACCAATATTAGAAGAAACATCCTTCTAGTTGAAGAAGGGTACCAGGTAAGGAGAGAAGATGCTGGGTTTCAAATGGCTCTTTCTGGACCTGTTAGTACAGGTAGGGGGCCTGGTCTCTTCCACATTCGGATGCAGTCTTCATTTTGGATAGTGCAGTATTATTTATTTCCCTGTGACCTGGGCCCGCCTAATCTTTGTGGGTTGCATTCTATTCTTTGGCCCGAATGACTTTGTAATTGTTATGCTCATTCTTCTGATGGAGAAGAAACCGCCATTGGAAATGGAACAGCATTCCCCTGTCTTTTTAAGGTGACCGAATGGGGACGTGAATAAAATTCCTAGAACTTCAGAAGTGCTCCAGTGGTGGGATTCAATTTTTTTTCACTTCTGGTTCTGTGGACGTAGTGTGGCTTGGTGGGCATGGCAGGGGAAGGATACTGTGAAATCTTCATTCCCTTCCTTCCCCACTCCAGGGGGAAGGATACTGTGAAATCTCCAATCTCCATTCTCTTCCTTTCCCACTCCAGGGGGAAGGATACTGTGAAATCTCCCTTCCCTTCCCTCCTCACTCTAAGGGGAAGGATACTGTGAAATCTCCATTCCCTTCCTTTCCCACTCCAGGGGGAAGGATACTGTAAAATCTCACTTCCCTTCCCTCCTCACTCCAGGGGGAAGGATACTGTGAAATCTTCATTCCCTTCCTTCCCCACTCCAGGGGGAAGGATACTGTGAAATCTCCAATCTCCATTCTCTTCCTTTCCCACTCCAGGGGGAAGGATACTGTGAAATCTCCCTTCCCTTCCCTCCTCACTCTAAGGGGAAGGATACTGTGAAATCTCCATTTCCTTCCCTCCTCACTCCAGGGGGAAGGATACTGTAAAATCTCAATTCCCTTCCCTCCTCACTCCAGGGGGAAGGATACTGTGAAATCTCCCTTCCCTTCCCTCCTCACTCTAAGGGGAAGGATACTGTGAAATCTCCATTTCCTTCCCTCCTCACTCCAGGGGGAAGGATACTGTGAAATCTCCCTTCCCTTCCCTCCTCACTCTAATGGAAAGGATACTGTGAAATCTCCATTTCCTTCCCTCCTCACTCCAGGGGGAAGGATACTGTGAAATCTCCCTTC